TGAATATTCTCAGGAATACTGATGATTGGAATATCATTTTATTACATCCCCAAAAGGACCCGTGAAAATACGGGGTAGAATAGGTCTTTAGCAACCCATGCTTGCCGTAAAAGGTGACTATGCTTGTCGTAAAAGGCGACTAACGGGATCGGGTGGTCAGGCTCGCTGACTTGGTTGATACATGTACTCGTATCCCACTTGCATAGATCGATGCTCCTGATGTCAATCACCGGGTTGTCTGGTCCAGACTCGATTATTTACAGACCATACGTCTCAGTTGATATGATCAGATGTTGAATTTTTAATATTTTTGTCTTTATTGAACCAATTTATTATTACACCAAATTATCCCGCCACATCTTACTTCTTACAAAGTGTTGCAGGAATGAGTGATGGTTAAATTGACATAATTAAATTTAACAATACTTCTTTCAATTTTCAATTACATTAAAAAACTCGATAGAATTTCTTTTGCCCCTCAGTTTAGTAAGTGGTGCTTAAAAAATAGACTAAATTAAATTAAACAATAGGTTTTTTCAATTTACAATTACATTTTAATATACAAAATCGGGAAAAATGTCTTTTGCCCCTCAGTAGATAGTGAGGTTTATATCTGTAATCGTCCAGGATCCAAGCGGAATCATGTTGTTTGACTCAGATAATGAGGACCTCTGCATAGAGCACAAGCCAAACAGTAGATTTCCTTTATCAAAGGTTTTTCTTTTTTCTTATATGTAACAAAGTCAGTGAGTGAGTGAGTGAATGAATGCTGTTTATCGCCGCAGTCATCAATATCCCTTCTGTACTTTTTAATGAAAACCAGTTACTGAAACATCACGAAGGATCCACGCTTGTGAGGCAAAATGACACGCCATGGTGAACTATTTTGACCCGGGGCCCACAAGGAAGCAGATTCAAAAATAACCTCAAGCTTTCAAAACGTTTTATGGCAGACTTGTGGACATCTCCAAATTTGATGAGTCTGTGATCAAAATGCCCTATTTTTACTTGTGTACCATGTGTTCCCGTGTTCCTCCAGATGACCAATTGACTAGGCTTTGCGTGTGTTTGCGACACCTCACCTCACGCGTTTTATACTAGGGTTTCGAATGCACCGACATTTGAACCTAAGTTTCGATATCCTATCTGTAAACCAGCTGATTAAAAAGTTCTCATACTTCTCATGGAATCCGATGAGTGCATTAAAGACGTATAAAGTTTCCAAACCGCCACGCCAGACTCTCTTGTTACTGCATTGTTTATTGCAGCTATTAATATGTAGCATACAATGACATTTTACACATCGCCTAGGAGCTTCGATGAACGAACATTATCTCTCGAGTTAATTAATTTTATAAGTTTCCAGCTGAAAATGTTGGGTGCATCTCTTAGATTTAACAAATGGTACAAAAGCAAAACAGGCCTAGATCTTTTAACCTTTAAACCCCAGCCTCTTCATTTTAAGATTAATGTACACCCTCTTCATCTTGTCGCCTGAAAACTTGAAACTCCTTTGAACCAGATGTGGTTCATTTACTGAAATCTTTTCCATCCTCCCGTACTCCCTCTAACACAAGCCAGCCATTGCGGGGGAGCTGCCTTGTACACTGGCGCTTACAACAAACGTAACCATAGCAACGAGTGAAGGGTGGTATAAGCTGGGCTACACTTGCAGGGTCTCGACAACGACATCTCAAGCAACCGCATTAACAAGACATATTTAACAATGTGTTTTTCCCCCCAGAAATTCATATCAAAACATTAACCTGGAAAGGTTGACTTTACCTTGATTTCTTGAATTGGGGTTCGTGGGGGCCCTGGTAATTAATTTCAAGGGTTCTTAAAGGAAATACGGGTCTTGTAATGAAATGGTGTAGTGTTCTGTACTGTAAGATTTGATAATTATATTACAGTAAACTACGGTTATAACGAACTCAAAGGGACCACTAATTTTAGTTCGTAATAACCGTAGTTCGTTATAGGCATATATAAAGCATTTATACAATAAATGGTCGGGACTAAATAATAAGTTCGTTATATAGGTCAGTTCGTTATAAGCGTGTTCGTTATAAACGTACTTTACTGTAGTTGCAGGACCTAATATGTCTTGTCATAACAATGGATATTGTTGTGTATAATCTTTTTTACGTCTATTCTGTATAGTTGTGCACACTAGACGCACATTTCTGCCTCGTGTAAAACCCTGTTATTCATTAATAGATTAAATTGTGTTTTCTGCTTTTGAAAACTATGTACTTTACAATGTTTATAGCAAAATTGGATTGCATAAATTAGAAATCATCAATAATTTGGATTTTAAAAAACTCATTTCTGCTGTGAGGTGAGGTGAAAATGGGGTTTAACGTCGCGGTCAAGATTATTGCACTGATATAGCGACGTGCATGCACGTGTGTGGGTGTGGCAGCTTGTACTAGTCCGGACTGATGGCAATTTATAGCGCTAGCCCACTGAGATACCATGCCGCAGTTTAACATGAATATCCTACTCAGACACAGTATACTGACCCCGAGCCGACCACTCCTTGTTTTAGCCCCTTAATGCCGAGTGCCAGACAGGGTAACAACATATATTACCATATAACCTTGTCTCTATGACAGGACTCGTACATCGCAATGACAGATAATTCGGATCTCAGATATCTCAGTGACATAGGTCTCGGGTCTCAGATATCTCAATGACAGAGAATTCGGGTCTCAGACATCTCAATGACAGAGGTCTCGGATCTCAGATATCTCAGTGACATAGGTCTCGGGTCTCAGATATCTCAATGACAGAGAATTCGGGTCTCAGACATCTCAATGACAGAGGTCTCGGATCTCAGATATCTCAGTGACATAGGTCTCGGGTCTCAGATATCTCAATGACAGAGAATTCGGATCTCACATATCTCAGTGACAGAGGTCTCGGATCTCAGATATCTCAGTGACATAGGTCTCGGGTCTCAGATATCTCAATGACAGAGCATTCGGGTCTCAGACATCTCAATGACAGAGGTCTCGGATCTCAGATATCTCAGTGACATAGGTCTCGGGTTTCAGATATCTCAATGACAGAGAATTCGGGTCTCACATATCTCAGTGACAGAGGTCTCGGATCTCAGATATCTCAGTGACATAGGTCTCGGGTCTCAGATATCTCAATGACAGAGAATTCGGGTCTCACATATCTCAATGACAGAGGTCTCGGATCTCAGATATCTCAGTGACATAGGTCTCGGGTTTCAGATATCTCAATGACAGCGAGCTCGGGTCTCACATATCTCAGTGACAGAGGTCTCGGATCTCAGATATCTCAGTGACATAGGTCTCGGGTCTCAGATATCTCAATGACAGAGAATTCGGGCCTCAGACATCCCAATGACAGAGGTCTCGGATCTCAGATATCTCAGTGACATAGGTCTCGGGTTTCAGATATCTCAATGACAGAGAATTCGGGTCTCGGACAGTCTCCATTTGTCCATTTTAACTGAAACCGACCTTACAGCAAATTCCTATTCCCATTAAATTGAATACTCAAATCTGTGTAAGAGTGTTCTTGATAGGTGAGTGAGTGAGTGAGTTGGGTTTAACGCCGCTTTTAACAGTATTCCAGTTATATCACGGCGTGTCAGCTTAATTCTGGAGGAAAGCCCGAAGTGATGCAGGTCTCAGACGTTTACCACTTCGGTGAAACCCACGAGCACGGGCATAATGCTGACAAACCTAGAAACATAATTGGGGCGAATCGGGACGCAACTCTGCACAGCGAATCGCGGCGCCTTAGACGACTGGGCCACCCGTGTCCCCCGTTCTTGATAGTGCTCTTGTTGAGTACTCAACCGCAAATTAATGTTCTTTAGGGCCTGGTCATTTTTGTTATAGACAAAACGTTTTTTGCCACTGCTTCCAGACTCGCATTTTGTTTCTCTGAAATGAGAGGCCTTTTTTAACAGTATGTTTGTATTTTTCACAACAGGACATCCAACATATCTCGTGAACGATTTAACAGGGGTTGGATGGATTTTATATTCCGGATTACCGAGGTTCAACTGTGTACGGTAATATACTCACCGCCAAAAGAAACGCGAACCACAGATACATATTATTTATTTGTTTATTTATTTGATGTTTAACGCCGCTCTCAGCAATATTCCATCTGTATAACGCAATTGGGATACGATAACATGCATCAACCAAGTCAGCGAGTTTGACCACTCGATCCCGTTAGTCGCCTTACGACAAGCATAGTCGCCTCTTACGACAAGCATAGTCGCCTTTTCCGGCAAGCATGGCTCGCTGAAGACCTATCCTATTCTATTCTACCCCGGATCTTCACGGGCCACAGATACATATGGAGAAGTATGTACGTTAAGAAGAGTTGTTTCCAATGTGTACCACTTAATGACAAAACTAACAATCAGTTAAGTTTTACCACAGAGTGCCTTTATTCTTATCACGATATGCTGCACGTGATTTACAAAATTTACACGCTAATCCTGTGGACAATTGGTGCATCTCGAGTCATGGGTTTATGACGTCACATGTGATGCGTTCATGAGCGTCGCTTCACACAACATACCAGCATGTTCGTTTGTGCTTCAAATCAATCTTTTATAATAATCTCTTGAATATAAGTAATTCTTCATTAATTAACCAACATATATGGTATTCGTGTTTCTTTTGTCGGTGAGTATAGTTTAATTTTAAGGATGCAGATGAGCAAATACTGGTACATACTTATGCTCGTAGATTTAGGATTGCACTGTTAATGTGGTGGTGATATACAGATAGCGTTTGTAGTCTCAGTAACCCTATACAGCTTCAGACAGTGTTTGCCCAGTGGGTTACACTTTGGTAGCCATATTGAATTTATGCGTCGACCATGTCTAAGATTTCATGATCACAAGACTTTTCCCGAAGCATCTAGATGCGGGATCTTTTTGACGCGAGTCGTGGGCGTTCTTCTTGTCCAGTAAATGTGTTTTTTTACTTGTGTTTCAGGGTTTGGATGGATTTTATACTCAAATGTATCGGGCATTTCCGGCGATACTCGGATCCACCACTCGCTATGTCATGGCGCCATCATCAGCGACGCTGTCATCTCCCAACGTGACACCTACCTCATCCGGAATAGGACAAGAACCGTCAGATCTCGCGATTGCTCTGGGAAGAAACGACATAGCCTCGTCGGGTTCATTTCCGTCAGGAAAAGACTGAGTGGCGGAACGTGTAATTTGTAATACACACACACACTCACGCACGCACGCACGCACAGGCACGCACGCACACACACACACACACACACACACACACACACACACACACACACACACACACACGCACGCACGCACGCACGCACGCACGCACACACACACACACACACACATACACACACACTCTCTACCCACTCACTCACCCATTCTAGACCTTGACAGGAAATTGTTGTTACGAGGGCTGGTCAAAGGTTCTAAACCTAACAAACAAAACCAACAATTGTAAAAGTGTTGTTTTTTTATTTATCAACATAATCTCCCTGCTTTTCAATACACTTCTCATATCGATGGTGAAGCTTTTCAATTCTAGTTGGGTAGAAGTTTTCTGAAGTCACCCTGAAAAACCCATTCACGGCAGCCTTGAGGTCATCGTTATCGTCATAGGGCTTTTCACAAAAGGTGTTCTTTCCGTTTAGGAAACATGTGGAAATCACTTGGTGCCAGATCTGGCCAGTATTATGGAGGGTGAGGAAGCCTTTGTAAGTCGAGAGGTGTGAGAAGAGACATTGTCATGAAGTAGTAGAACTCCAGCAGTCAGCATTTTTCTTTGACAGCAAATCAGCATAGTAGGCACCGGTGATCGTTTTTGATTTTCTAAGTAATCAACAAGAATCACACCCTTTGATCCCAGAATACAGTGGCCATAACTTTCTTCACTGATATTGAAGACTTGAATTTCATGGTGCTGGAGAAGTGGAATGGTGCCATTCCATGGATTGACGTTTTGACTCGGGATCATAGTGGTAGACCCATGTTTCATCACCTGTTACTGATCTCTTTTTGAATTTGAAGAAATCCTCCTCAATTAGCTCTAAATTTTCTCTGGCAATGTCGGTTCTTTTTGTCCTTAAGATGATTTAGAAACTTTGGCACCCAACGAGCAGATATCTTATTAATCTGTAAATGTTCATGGATAATAGTTTTAATGGATCCGTGGCTTCTATCTGTGTCTTCAGCAATGGTAATACCTCTACCATAGTAGTATCTGTGGTATGAACTACCATAGTAGTGTTTTCTATCTCCTTAATTGACTCTTTATTGATGGAAGTTAAGTGACGTTCAGACCTAGGGTCATCATCAAGGCTTCCAGCATTCTTCCAGCATTAAACATAGCTGAACTTATCCCCATACACTCACGGTCATGAACTTCTTAGGGAGTACGTTCCTTTAAAGTAAAAACATTTAATATCTTCTCGGTACTCGTTCTTTTCATTTCTGTGTTTCTGTGACCCCTATCACGTTCAACTGGCTGTCACTAATATACAAACGGCCTCAACAGACCAAATACACTTGCAATGAACTACTCAAACAATGTACTCCATTGACAAGTTCACTTTGTTATGGCCCATTGTTGAAAGTTAGTTAAGCTTAGAACCTTTTGACCAGCCCTCGTACAGCGTGCAGCGCAGTGCATCACTAATGTATAATACCCAAGTCTTCAACAACTGATATCCTGGTTAGGTGAGTGGTTAGGGTGCTCGACGATTCAGAAAATCAGGCTTCGATTCCTCTTGTGGGTACTCTCAATGTTTGCCTTTCGCTGTGCTGTTTCAATGTAGATTGACCGCCCATACAATTTGTGCTCTTTATCTCCATGCAAACCTTCACATGGTATGTTCCCTATTGGTTAACACTTCGAGATAAAGGTACAAAATGCTTTAATAACGTCGAAGTTGACCGAGTCAAAAGTCAGAGACAGCATATACATATTTATCTCGAATTCGAGATAAGCGGACAAATATATATGTATTTGTATATGTGGGTGGGTCCGGAGAATAGGTTCGAGATATCGGTACATTCGATATAACGGTGTTCGAGAACAAGGATCGACTGTATACTCCTAGCCTTAAGAATTAAAAAAAATCTTGCTGCTAACCACGAAGCGCATCGGTGTTTGTATGTGTGTGGAAAACGTTAAATGGGGAAAAATGAGAAGCACGGATTTTGTTACGAAACTGGAAATTCATAACTTGTTTCAAGGGCATGATGACATATGGCGGGCGACATAGATAGTGACACTGGTTGCTGTGTATAGGGAATCTTGTGTATTGTATGATGAGACTGGTCAGTGGGTGTTTCGGAAGTAAAAATATGCTGAAGTGTATTGGATGGATGGTGGCAACGGTTACTGTGTATTAGATGATGACAACGACTGCTGTGTATTGGATGGTGGCAATGGCTGCTGTGTATTGGATGGTGACAATGGTTACTGTATTAGATGGTGACAATGGATGCTGGGTATTGGATGGTTGCAACAGTTGCTGTGTATTTGATGGTTACAATGACTGCTGTGTTTTGGATGGTGACAATGGTTGACGTGTATTGGAAATATTGTGTATTGTATGATGAAACTGGTCAATGCATGTATTGGAAGTTAATATTTGCTGATGTGTATTGGATGGTGACAATGCCTGTTTGGGTTTGGATGTGACTATGGCTGCTCTGCTTGATGTCAATGGTCGATGTGTATTGGATGGGGACAATAGCTTATGTGTATTGGATGGGGACAATGGCTGATGTGTATTGGATGGGGACAATGGCTGCTGTATATTTGATGGGGACAATGGCTGCTGTGTATTGGATGGGGACAATGGCTGATGTGTATTGGATGGGGACAATGAAGGGTGGGAATGACTAATGTGTATTGTATTGTAGCAGATGCATATCAGTATCGGTTAGTGTCCCTGCTTCTATACTACTCAAAAGAGTTAAAGAGCACCCGATTCTTTCATATTGCTATAGTAATGCCACGACAGATTAACTATATTAATAAGAAAGAATCATGTTTTCCTTAACTTCTTTTGAGTAGTATATGTTCGGAAGGCCGGAAGGACGGTCGTGCAATGGAATATGTGTATTAGATGTTGACAATGGCTACTATGTTTGGAGGCTGCAAAGGAACGCTGTGCATCGGATGACAATGACCCTGTACCGGATGGTACCAAATGGCTGTACCTTTGCGCCTAGCGATAATGTGATCACCGTGAAATTCAGCTCTGAGAGGGTGAGCATAATAATTCTTAAGATGGCGCTTCTCTCTTCAAATACATTTGGGAATCGAACCCGATTCTTCTCTGACGAGCAACCGCTTTAACCACTAGCCTTCCCCAGCGCCCTTAATGACAGCTGTGATCTGGCTGATGTGTGTTATAGTTTAACAAGGTGTGTCTTGTCTATGTACATGTCATCGCTGTATTTGTATATAAACTACATTAAAGAACTTGAACACACTTACAATGTATCTTTTACGTTTTCTAATAAAAACATATTTGTGATTTGGATAATTAAAAAAAACTGAAGGGATACGGGTGTCCAGGTCGTCTTAATTCGATTATTCACAGACCGCCGTCATGTAGCTGAGTGCGGCGTTAACAAACAAACAAACAAACAAACAAACACTACTGTGGGTCAGGTGTCAGGCAAGGAAGATTGCGTGTCATCATCGTAGCCCGGCTGCGTGGATGGTTGCCCATATTGTCTGGTCAAGACTCGAGTATTTGCACGCAACTGTCATACAAACCGCGATTCGCTGTGCAGAGTTGCGTCCCTTGCGTCCCAGAAATCTATGATTGTGGGCTCGAATCCCAGTCCGCCCCGATTATGTTGCTAGGTTTGTCAGCACCATACCCGTGCTCGTGGGTTTCACCGAAGTAGTGAACGTCTGAGACTTGCATCACTTCGAGCTTTCCTCTTACATTAAGCTGACACGCCGCGATATAACTGGAATACTGTTAAAAGCGACATCAACCCAACTCACTCACTCACTCATACAGTTTTGAGATCGCTGAGTGCGGCATTAAATAAATGTAAAACGTCAATACAAGAGAATAACCAATATCATTTCATTTGGCGTGATGGGCAAAATAGCTGTGGAAACATATGAATAGACCAGTGAAAATCAGTGATGACACCAGGTGTTCGCGACACGCATGCCCAGCCCTACCGGTAGCACCAAAACGCACAGTGATGCCGCTGAATAATGCGCGCACGAACTAATAAGAAAAGTCTGTGCTGCACGTGCGGATTTGACAAGGTTGCCGGTCGAGTCTACTTGTGTGCAGGAGACAAGCAAATCAAGTATTTGTATTTGCTCGATATTTAACTCATTTTATCAAGTCATTTTGACATGTGTCATCTTTTCGTCTCGTTATTGTTTACATATAGATGGAACATTGCCGTGCGCGGCGTTAAACAACAAACAAACAAACACATCAAGTACTACTACTATCTAAGTATGCCTTTATTACAATAAAGTCAATATATACCCCAGCATGCTCGTCACGACTTGTAAAAGACAGTATTTGGACCACAGCAAGCCACAGGGGTCATAGCGCTATTTCCTGAGGATAATCAAACAATCAGAAATATATTTTTTTAGATAAAAGGAAGATTATTCGATATCAAGAGCAAAACAACAGAGGAGTATGATAAGGTCTCAAACATTTTCAAAATATTGTTTCATGTAGTGGATGATGATTGAAATGACAATGTCGGATATGGGGCAGTTGAAATCTTCACAAAAATGCCATGCTCGATTGTACCTCAAATGGAGTGAGTGAGTGAGTGAGTGAAAAGAAAGTGAGTGAGTGAGGTTTTACGCCGCTTGTAGCAATATTCCAGCAATATCACGGCGGAGGACACCACAAATGGGTTTCACACATTGTACCCATGTCGGGAATCGAACCCGGGTCTTCGGTATGAAGAGCGAACGCTTTAACCACTAGGCTACCCGACCGCCCCTATCAAATGTAGACATCAACGGCATAAGCTGCTGGAATGTAACTCGACACGAAGGGAAAGTTGACAATTGGAAAGTTGAAGTCGCCCATCGCCTGAGAACGTCTTGTAGGTGCATGGGTGGCCCGGTCGTCTAAGGCGCCGCGATTCGCTGTGCAGACTCTGCAAGAAACCTATGATTGTGGGTTCGAATCCCGGTTTGCCCCG